GTGGCTATCACACTGGAAAAGTGGACTGTTTCCCAAATTTGGATTTATGAAAGAAATTGGGAGAAAGATAACTAACCATAGACCTTTACAGTTGGGGAAGCGGTAGTCATCTAGGATCTGCACTTAAAGACCAAAAAGGAGCGACTTTCCTTCCCCAATGGCTACTTTCTTCTCCTGTCAAAATAATGAGTAGTCTAATAATATTTTTAATTTTCATTGGAAGTTAGGTTCTTTCTTTGGCCTTTCAGGAGTCTGGTAAAATGGAAAGATGTCATAATCACCTGTGATTATGACCAGTATGTGTCTGCAAAAAAGGCTGGTGCAATACTTTTTAGCCTCTCAGTTTTGCAAATTTTGTAACTTCAACAAAGCATAGATGATATAATTTTTTTTAAAAGTCCAAACAATGGGTATGACCTAATTCTAGTTCAGAGTATGCATGTTCTTGGACTTGTTCTATGCTTACCCTGCTGCTGTGCATCACTTGGGGTACATACGTAGACCAATTAGACCAACCTGATGGCTAGCTGAGAACAGAGCAAGCCCTCTGACAGATAGATGAGCAATCTCAGCTACAGTTCTTCAAGCTGGGCTCACTTCCCATCCTGCCCAAGCCCATTAAACTTGTTATTTGAATGCTTCAAATACTGCTCTCTTTGCTGGTACATTAAATTAACATCTATCTATCAGTACATCACACCTTTCAGAACTAGACTGTAAAAACACAGCCAGCCTGATGAATCACCCTGCATTTCTAAAAGGCTATGACTTACACTAAATAAAATCAAACCGAGTGACGCAAGTTTCAACCTGCACTACAGATCAGTCCTTATGTGGAAGACAACACTTGGAGCACATTAGCACTGGACACCTGCTGCTAGTGTGTTTAGTACATAATTAGTAAGTCATATTCTGTCAGTGCTTTCCTTTTTCCTGGTGAGAAAGGTATTTCCAACACCTGCACATCCCTGGTTCTAAAGTGACAAAAATCAGTTTCTATGTTGTTTGTATCTCTGCTGGATCCTTCAGAAATTCTTCACTCCCTAAATTATCACTGAAAATGTAACAAGTACAATATATATGGTATTCACCTCTTGAGCTTTTCTATTAGACTATTGTTTCTGATACTGTACTTTATTAAACACTTTACAAGCTACAGTAGTGTGCTGGTTTTGGCTGGGGTAGAGTTAATTTTCTTCACAGTAGCCAGTACGGGGCTATGTTTTGGATGTGTGATGGAAACAGGGTTGATAACACAGGGATGTTTTCATTATTGCTGAGCAGGTCTTACCCAGAGTCAAGGCCTTTTCTGCTTCTCACCCCACCCCACCAGCGAGGAGGCTGGGAGGGGACACAGCCGGGACAGCTGACCCCAACTGACCCAAGAGATATTCCATACCATATGGTGTCATGCTCAGCATATCAAGCTGGGGGAAGAAGAAGGAAGGGGGGGATGTTTGGAGTGATGACGTTTGTCTTCCCAAGTAACCGTTATGCGTGATGGAGCCCTGCTTTCCTGGAGATGGCTGAACATCTGCCTGCCCATGGGAAGTGGTGAAAGAATTCCTTGTTTTGCTTTGCTTGCATGTGCGGCTTTTGCTTTACCTATTAAATTGTCTTTATCTCAACCCATGAGTTTTCTCACTTTTACCCTTGTCTCCCCCATCCCACTGTGAGGGGAGTGAGCAAGTGGCTATGTGAAGCTTAGTTGCCAGCTGCAGTGAAACCACAAGTAGTACAAAGCTGCTTTTGTGTGTAAAATAGAATGCATCTTTTCTATCCACTGCCCAGCTTGTTGAGGACATCCTGCACCACGGAGCAATAGGAGTTCACCGTGATGCCTGCAGGAAGGGGGACACCCCTCTGAGAGTGTTAGATGCAATGACAGCACCTGATGGCTGAGTGAGTTAGTGGGATTTACAGGGGGTTTAGTAGCCTCCAGCCACATTACAGTTGAGTCTCAAATGAAAACTTTTTATCATCAGGTATGTCCCACATTTTATTTAAAAAGATCCTAGTCCAAGCCTGCCCAAGTTTTGACTTTTCAAGCTTTGACTGAAGAAATATGTAAAAACAAAACTACACATGTGCAGGCTCCCCACGACAGAACAGCTGCAAAACATGGAATTTTATCTGCACTGTGTGCTTCACTTCTGCCTGAAATTGCCCTATTCTAGCCCTAAACCACACCACCTAGGACCGGCAGAAATATGTAAGCAAAGAATGAAGTTACACATGTAGGAAGAATAAAGGCAGAGTGAGGAGCAAAATATACAGGATAACATATAAAAAATATATATAAAATATACAGCAAAACCCGCCATTTTATTGAGTAATAACATGACAATGTGGATTAGGATATTAAAACACTAGTCATTTCCGAGTCTTAAGAACCCTTTTTTACAGAGTAGGAAAACTCCATCTTGAATTCCTCCGAACATATTACAGCTAAGACTGTTCGAGGCACCATTCTCTCTCATCTGCTCGGTCCCCCTTGGGGTACGGCGGGGCCTGCTGGGCGGCCTGTGTGACCAGCCGCCCCGCACAGGAGGTGCAGCCCAGCCGCGCAGCAGCGGCGTGGGGTCGCAGGACCTCCCCCCAAGGAAGGGGTCTGAGAAACTTGCAGAGGCACAGTAAAGCAGTTTCTAAAAACATTTTACCTATACATAAAAAATGGGCATTCGGTCCCTGTATTTGCCCTAGGGATTGCAAAACAGCACATCTATCTACCTGAAAACCAAAACAGGCATTAATTACACACAACAAAATCTAACTTTTCGCCCACGCTGCAATAGGCTGGCAGGACAAAGAGAATCCCATTTAATTAGCAGTCGTAAAGCAGTTTCTAAAAACATTTTACCTATACATAAAAAATGGGCATTCGGTCCCTGTATTTGCCCTAGGGATTGCAAAACAGCACATCTATCTACCTGAAAACCAAAACAGGCATTAATTACACACAACAAAATCTAACTTTTCGCCCACGCTGCAATAGGCTGGCAGGACAAAGAGAATCCCATTTAATTAGCAGTCGGGCAAAAGGCAGGTTGGCCACAGCTGCCACCCTGCTGAGGGTACCCAGCTGCCTGGGGGGCTCGTCA